GTGTTCACTCTAGATTGCATTCAGCTTTAATTATTCTCATTTGACACTTGGATAGTTGGAATAATTGAAATAGTAATAAAGGGAAACATTAATTTTGACAAGTTTGTTATGTTTTGAGTCATAATTAATCAATTAAGCTGAACAATTGTGAATTAATCAAAAATGGTAATGAGAAATGATAATAGCAATATTTCAATTACTTGGATAGTTAGAATAATTGAAAACAGTAACAATTAGAAACAATAGTTTTGATTTGTTGGTTATTTTTATGTGACACTAATCAATATAATCAATGCTTATAGGTTGTCAATTCGTTTCTCCGTATAGTAACTATTAGTAATTTTCAAAGTCTTTTTAGTTTTTCAATTTTTTTGTGAACATATTTTTTCCATTGTAAAGACATTCACATCCTGTTGCTGATATCTAGGATTGGACTTTCAGGGTTTTTTTTGTACACAGGATTGTTCTAATTTGTTCTTGAATGTATGTTTAGTTTAAAGATATTAGATGTTACTAACAGATCTTTTTTTCCTACAGGAAAGTTAGTTTGCATTAAAAACTGTATATATATCTTTATGGACAGTAAGCCACAAGAAGCAGAAGTCATTTTGTCTAAATCTCAGGACAGTGATAGTGAATCTCCTATGAAGAAGTAAGAATTTAGTTTCATAGTTTTCAGTTTACTATACATGTATTGACTTTTCTCAATTAATTTCTCTTAATAAGAAGTGATATTTCTTTAATTTAGAATGATGTATTTAAAATTGCTTGACCTCATTTGAAAAGTTGATTTTAGGTTCATGTGACGATTAAAAAATGTAAACCATTCGAGCTTTATTGACTGTAGTTATACAAAGTTGTTCTTGTGCATCAAACTACCTTTTGAAACACATTATATACATTTGTCTACGCACATACGTAAATGTAAAAAGTCTAGCCTATTAATTTTTGACTGTAGTATTATAAAAGTTATGTCATACATTAAATTAATTTTACAGTTGTAACAAAAGCTATAAGAGGATATTTATTGAACATAAGAAATAACACCAAATGTAAATGCATTTTACTGAACATAAGAAATAACACCAAATGTAACTGTATTTTACTGAACATAAGAAATAACACCAAATGTAACTGTATTTTACTGAACATAAGAAATAACACCAAATGGAACTGTATTTTACTGAACATAAGAAGTAACATCAAATGGAACTGTATTTTACTGAACATAAGAAGTAACATCAAATGGAACTATATTTTACTGAACATAAGAAATAACACCAAATGGAACTATATTTTACTGAACATAAGAAATAACACCATATGGAACTGTTAATATGGAATTTAATTAATTCCAAAAACAGGCAAGTATGCAGACTTCTAAATACGAACAAATGGTAATGTTTTACTTTGAAATGACAGCCATTCTAAGGTTATAATTACTGCTGGGCCTTTGAAGGATGCTGACTTTTTTTGTGGATTGTACTTGTTATCTGGTAAGAATGTGGATTTGGTTTATTTCTCACTATTTCCAGGTATTTGACATATCACTAAGGAAAAAAGAAGAACATTCCACTCCATGTCAGCTTTCCTTATTAAGTTAACCAAAGTTATAAATCAGGTTGTTCACAAAATAGACCTTGAGAAACTTCACTAGTCAATCCTCCTTCAGAAACTATCAGTTTATTACTAACCACTGCTTTTTATCACTAAGTCAGTTTTTAATTTACCTGTTCTATAAGATTTGAACTTTGCAATTAACCTGTTGTGGGGTACATAATCAAAAACTCCAGAAAGTCAAGATTAACAAAATAATAAAAGCTACTTCATTATAAAAATAGCAGTAACATTAACCTTATTTAAAAAAAGAATGAAAAAAAGGTGAGTTGGCAAGAAAAGAAATATCTACATAAAATGATGCTGGCTGCTAGGGTGCCTTTAGCATTCTGTACCTTTAATGATCCTTAAAAATAAATTTCAACTGAGTTAAACTAAAAGCCCATATATTCTGGGTTCTCTCTAAGCCAGTGTTTCCTTAACATTTTCAGTCACGGAACACTTTTGAGCTCTAAAACTGTTAAGGAAACCATTAACATTCTTATGTTAAAAAGTCAAATAATAAAAAATTATTGTCGAAAGAACTTGTTTTTCACTTTAAAGTTCTATGGCTAAGTAGTATCAATACTTTAAAAGTTCTATGGCTAAGTAGTATCAATACTTTAAAGTTATATGGTTAAGTAGTATCAATACTTTAAAGTTATATGGTTAAGTAGTATCAATACTTTAAAGTTATATGGTTAAGTAGTATCAATACTGTAAAGTTATATGGTTAAGTAGTATCAATACTGTAAAGTTCTATGGCTAAGTAGTATCAATACTGTAAAGTTCTATGGCTAAGTAGTATCAATACTGTAAAGTTCTATGGCTAAGTAGTATCAATACTGTAAAGTTCTATGGCTAAGTAGTATCAATACTGTAAAGTTATATGGTTAAGTAGTATCAATACTTGAAATCACTGTAATGTTATGGAATATTCACAAACTCAAGATTAGCTTGTTGTTTCTTTGGAACACTGCACTTGACTATCACTAGCAACTGACTTACAGCTAGTCATCAATTAGGCTTTGCCCATGAATGAGATACCCAATAACAAATGGAATACAGCATGTTACAATTTATGAGCTGACAAGCTTTTAAGTCATACCTATATCTGGCATGCTCCTTTACTACGATTACAGTACATAAAATTTTCTTGCAGAACCCCTGGATATATTGTATGGACCCCAGCATTCCCCAGAACACAGTTTGGGAAACACTGCTTTAAGCAGTTCCTTTTAAAGTCATTAGTAATCTTGATCACTAATCTTCTACAACCCTTTAGTCTTTTACGGGTTAAGAGTTTTTTCACAAGTAATGAAACTCTAAAGATAAGTTATGTAATTTAGTCTGTTTCTTTAGCCATAAAAATTATAATAAAAAATCAATATAAATGTTTACAATAAACTTTTTCCTCCCAGTAACCTTACTACTGTTGTTAAATATATATATATTTTGCTTATATCTCTACCATTGTTGTACACAGATGGATTGACTAGTAAGAAAGGACCCTGACTAAGAGAATTTTGTTTTAAAGTTCATCAAAAACTGAATATCTTATTGAAAAACATATGTCTGCAACTGTGTCAGTGTGATAACAATTATATTACTTGTTTCATGTATACCTGTTATTTTACAATTTTTCGTTACCAACTTGTTCTTTCATAAATACTTGCTTGGTCATTTAACAAAAAACAATTTATTGTTATTGCTTTATATTTATTATAAATATTAGAGTTGGTATTTTGTATATTATCTACCCATCTTTTGTTTTTGTACCACTGAAATTGAAGTTAATAAATAGTACTGAATTTATGTGACTTATTTATGAAGTTCAGTTTGAGGATCCCTGAATTCCCTGTTACATTATTTATCCAATTTGGAATGAGCTTTAAATAGAATATAAGTTTCTGGAAAAACTGTTTTATGTAATCCTATCTATTAGAGCTGTTGCAACTTTCTTAATCATTATTTACATTTATCATCTTAATTTACCTAATCTCCATGTGTTTAGAAAATGATCTTTTAAAAAGGGAGAAACTCTGTTTATATTAATTTTCCTGAATTACATAAAACAATTATTACATTATGATCAATATAACCTTAATACAACAAATGACCCTTGTTATGTATTAGAATTTTGATTAGTCAGAAGCCTAGTTAACTGATAATTTAAATTTATGCCAATATTTTAGTCAATATACAATATTTGCCAACAAGATTGATACACACCGTCTTTGTTTTTAACACAATATGTTTTAATATACACACAACAATACAATTTACAGTAACAATTATTACAAATAGTTATTACAAACAAAAGTTTCACAAACTTACAAACAATATAAAATCTTCTTTCTAGTTTGGAACTCCCTTGATATCTTATCGAGAGTTTACGATGAGTGAGTTAATTACGAGTTGATGTAAGTATGATTCATTGGGAAGCTAGCTAGCTTTGTTCTTGGCCACACATGCTAGGTTTTCCACTGTTGAAGTTAGGTAACGTTTTCGTAAAAATACTAATGTCCAATGAGAACCCACTGAAGTTAAATAATTTGTAATGTTCGAACTTTGTAAAAGTTCCTGGTCAAATATCTGAAGTTTTCTGATTGATAAGCATTATAAAAAATCACAGTTATAGCTTTTGAAGTTTATAGCACACTGATTATAACAAACTACTAATAGACACTCCTCTTGGCACATCGCGTTGGTTATATTTATAGCCGTGGGAAGGTTTTCTAGCATTATAAAAAATCACAGTTATAGCTTTTGAAGTTTATAGCACACTGATTATAACAAACTACTAATAGACACTCCTCTTGGCACATTGCGTTGGTTATATTTATAGCCGTGGGAAGGCTTTCTAGAAAATTCAGTCTTACGTAACAATACTGAGCTAAACATTTAAATATATACATATATTGTTGATTTTTACTCTCGAGAATCTTCTACAACTTTGGAGAATAGGCGGGA